ACCTTTTGTGATACATAGATCCAACTGGAGAACATTATGCTAAATGAAATAAGTCAGTTGGTGAAAGACAAATACCATATGATCTCACCTATAAGTGGAATCTATTCAACTAACAAACACATATAATATATTTGTTCCCCTATCATGTAGAAGCTATGAAAAAGCAATAAATATATATTTGAAGTACTTGATAAAGACAAGTTTCTTAATATAAACTAACAAACAAAATAAACCAGGGGCATGGAAACATGGAGCAGAGTGAAAGTGACCATAGCAGATGGGGAAACAGGACAGTGGTGGAAAGAAGGGGAAGGGACTAGACAAAGAACATGTATGAATGACCCATGGACATGGACAACAGAGTGGGGATTGACTGTGAGAGCAGGGACTGGGGGTAGGATGAGTGGAGGTGGGTAAAGGGGGAAAATTTGAGACAACTGTAATAGAATAAACATGATTTAAAAATTTAAAAAATAACAAAAATAAAATATATAAATAAATAAATGGCAGGTGGGAAAATGTATTTTGCCCCTTCTAATACAGGAATCAAAACGCTAGACAGTTAACCCCTGTTATGATCTCAGCTTCTCTACTAATATCTATATAAGCTCAGACTGGTCATTTCCTCTCTTGGGGTCTTGATTTGCTTATTTATAAATTGGGGACAATATTCCCTATCATGTAGAAGCTATGAAAAAGCGATAAATATATATTTGAAGTACTTGATAAAGACAAGTTTCTTATTTAAAGTCAGGATACTTAAATTTTGGGGATGATCTCAAAGAGGGTTGAGGGTTCCCTTGCCTTGAACCTAACCTTTTATCCACTCAGCTGTAACTCTCAAGCATCAGAACTGGGTATTCTTGCTCTTTCTATAACTAGAGCTAACCATGGTACCCAGCACATGGCATGGACTGAATAAATGGGTCTTTTTTGCACATGGTTGATTTTTAAATAAGTTTTCCAGTGTTAAGACATAGTTCTGGATAGGAGACAACCTCCCAGGGGCTGCAGTCCCCCAGGATACCCTGTACCCTCCCATTGCCAGACACTCTCCCTCTTGCACTTGTATGGCTTGAAGGACATCACTGAGTGTAAGAGGAGAATACTGACATGTCTCTGAAACTTTGCCAGAGACTAAATATTTAGAAAATTAAGTTGTGACTATATTCATTTTCACAGTTTCTTTTGTAGATAATTTGGTTCAGGGACCTTCAGTTATGACAGATGTGTACATCTGATCAACAAACACTCCTTAAGTGACTATGCTGGGCACTTAACTAGGCACTGAGGATACAGAAGAGAATAAATTTTCCCCAACCCTAACCACTGGTCTAATGGAGAAGACAGAAGAAACCAAAAATTGTTGCAAGGCAAGGCCTCATGTGAGAAATGCTGCTGCAATGCCAAGGACCATATTAGTTATTGCATTACTCAGGGTGGGCTTGGATATGCTTGGTAACAGACTCCCCAAATCACAGTGGCTAAGAATAAAAATGTTCTTTTTTACTTATGCTGCATATACAAATGTATAAATCAGAAAAGAGGGTGGGATTCTGATTTCTGTCTCTCAGGGATCCGGGCTGATAGAAGATTCATCCCAACATATGTACCCACGAGTGCTTACACAAGAAAATACAAAGCAGTGAATCAGGCACTTGTTTTTAAAGCCTGCCCAGAAATATGACACATATTTGCTCATGTTCTATTAATCAAAGCAAATTGACTGGCCCTACCCGGCCATGAAGGGGACCCACAAGCCTCCTTCCATGTCTCTGGAACAAGGAGAAGGGGTATTTGTGAACTGTCCTAATGGACACCCAAGGTGGAATCCAATTATTGGGGAGTTTACTGGAGTGTCCCTCCCAGTGTCATTTCTCAGCCAATAATTCTGTGTTTATACAAAAAAAAAATCTCCTGGGAGAAATACCCTCTGAGTTCATTCACACTTGTATTCACTTGGTATTTATCATTCTCTTTCATGGACCCTGGCCTGGTGGGCACTGGTCATAGACAGAGAAATGGCAGAGTTCCTGTCCTCTTACAACTCTCAGTGCAGTTGAATCAAAGGCACACACAGGCAACAAATGACTGCAGTTTGATTGGAATATCATTTGTCAAGTACTCACACAGTACAGGAGGGCCACAAAAGGAATCAGGAAGGCTCTGTGGGAGGCTAGTGTTACACCTGGCTGACAAGATTTGCCCAACTCATGCCAGGGGAAGAAGGAGCAGTGAGCTTAATGAGGGGAGCACTAGGACAATGAAAGTGTATAAAACAGAACTGGGAAGTCACCCATCACTGCAGGGGAGGAGCTGAGCGGTGTCAGGACTCGAGATTCTTGGGGCAATTCTCAAGAGGCCAACCAATCAAGTTCACTAGGTTCACAAGTTCATTTGGGATGAAAGTCCCCCCATTGTTCAGGTTCCTTCCGCTCAGATGTGCTATAAGAGTTGGGTTTCAGGAAGAGTTGATCTTCATCTTGGGCTGCTCCATTTGATCAACATGCAATTAGTATGTCTAAAGATGCCACAAATGTCCCTACTGCACCTTTTTTTAAAAAACAAAAAGCAGAAAATACTTTTCATCTCCAGCAAACCTCCATTTAGACTCATCAAACTCAGCCTCAGAAAAGCAGCTAGGAGAGAGGAGCAGGGATGCTGACTGCTGTTGCCTTGGTAAGGGGAATCCACTGGGTTCAGTCTCAGTGGTTTCTATGGGAACAGCGCTGCTTGCCTCTTCTGGCCCCACAGGGATGGGAGATGTACTGAAAGGAAAACTGAGAGGGAGAAAGAGAGGAGCAGAAAAAGACTTGGAGGATTCTGAAGGTATCCAGGGCCCCTTGGCCAGATGAATAGCTGTTCCCAGCATGTCATGTGGGCCGTGTGGTCCCAAAAGACTGCGCATAGGAAGCACTCTAGGTCATACAACTGCTTTGGGCCAAACATCATCCTGGAGAAAGAGATGCCAATGCAAGGCATTCAGGAATTGGTGAGAGGTAGATTTCATCCCAAGATCAGAAAGGAATGTGGCCTCATGCTGGACCAACATCCCATCATTGTTATAATTATGCCTAATAGTGACACATAACAAGGAAGCATGGCTGGAGCTATTTCACATACACTGGTTGTACTCTCCCCAGTATGGGTGACATCCACACACTCGTCCTACAGGTGAAGGAAATGGGTCGTGAGAGGGGAAAGGATAGCCCACAAGAAGTGGAGGTGGGATCCAACCCCTGGCCTAATTCCCCTTGTGCAAAATCCAATCAACAATCCAAGAAAAATTTTAGCTTCTCAAAGATGGGCAAGGATCCTAACCCATACTATGACTAGGAAATGTCCTGGTTCATTTGTATGTGATGTGAGGAAGCATACTCAAGTGGAGGGCAGCTGGAATGGCATCAGTACCACTCTCAGCCTGTGGGAGGCACTGGAAGCCCCATCTTGATTAAAAATGAGGAAACTGAGGCCATAAAGTGCTGGGCAGAGCCTTCCAGTTTAGCAAGCCACCCCGTCTCCTCCAAACACTCTTGCCTTGCATAGCTGGAGCTATTCTGAAAACATTTCCAAGACATGCTGGCAGCACCAAAGTCAAAATCAGCCAGGCAGGGAGTTTGCCTGGTCTTGGGGAAGCAAGCTCAGTTGCTCTGGGAAGCTTTTCTTGAACCATCAGACCACCTGGGCAAAGCTGACCTACTCCATCCCTGGTCAAGGCCCAAGGTCTGCTCCCTTCAGAGTTTTTCATCCTGCTGACACTTACTAGTTGTCAACTGTGCACACTAACTATTTTCTGTGATCCTGGGAGCAGTAAGAAGGAACCTAAGGACATTTTTCAGATTGCCAGTAGGCAAAGGAGGCCCTAAGAGATGAAAACACATGCCACCAAAGGCCATGCCATGCAGGCATCAAGCCCCACATTTCCAAATCCCCAATTGAGGAGCCTTTCCTTGACCCCAGGCTGACCCCTTCCTTAGGAAAATTAAGTATAATCACGCCAACTGCTTTAGAACCACAGCAGAACAACACTTTGTGAAATAAGAGTGTATGCATTGATAGGCCGTGTGTATAGTGCACAAGTAGGGGCTGATGAGATCAGTAGTAAGCATTAGGGATCTCCTCCAAATGAAGCCCCTGCCCATTGGGTCTCCAGTGAGGGCTCCAGTCATATTCTCTGTGGCCAAGATCATATGATAATGTCCTTTGCAAATGAGCTAAAGAAATTTCTAAGATGGTAAAATCAATGCTTAATATCACATTACGGTGCCGCTAACTATGGTATAAATCTTAACCTTCAGGCCCTGCCATGCTAGGTTCAGAATGCAAGTTCCAATAGCAGTTTATCTGGGCCTTTAAACCTAGGCACGGGGCCCCCTTTCTGCCACCTTCACCTCATGCCCACTGCAATGTGCTGATACCAATTATGCATGAGCAAGCTATAGTCTCTCATTCCTACTCATAAAAACATCCTGCATCTCCTCTCTCCCAGTTCCTATGCAAGGGAGGCTTGGAAGATCACAGAGATGGGGGACGTAAGCTGCAATAGACACTGGGCATCACCACTCCAGACACGTACATGGCTTCTTGAGACATCTGTGGCTCTGTCCAAGGCCTTTGCTGGCTCCAGAAACTCACTTAACTTAGCCAGTGTGTAGTTCATGCATTTCCTCATTAACATTTGAAGTCGCTAGTGGTGTTCTGAAAACCACCCTAATGTTGAAGTGATAAGGAAATATAGTAGTATATAAAATGGGTCATGAAAATATCTACTAGGGGAAGAATCCCAGGTGCTTTCAATACAACTGCAGCTTGTTGCCTACCTTCTGATCTGAAGGAAACACTAAATTCTAGTTAGAGATCTGTGAATATAAAGATGTAATTTTTTCTCATCCAAGTTCATGGACTCCGCATTAAAACGAAGATTGGCAACACTGTCCCAGACCCTAGCAAAGAGAATGCTTTCATCTGTACTAAGCTAGTTTTCTCTCTCTGTTCTTTAGCCCTGCATGAGTTCCCCAATGACATCTTTACCAACGAGGACCGAAGACAGGGAGCAGTGATTCTCCACGTGCTCTGTGTAAGTGTCCCTCTCATGGCTCTGCTGGTGGGTCCAGAGGGAAGGCCTGGCTGGTAGGTGGGCAGTGTGGTGCCCACAGAGGCACCCCTTCTCCATCCTGTTCACACACCTGGTGGCAGGGTCCTCTGAGCCCTGTGGGAGGCAATTTCTCAGTGTACCCTCTTTAAGCGGCCTCAGGTTCATAAGTGGCAGATATTTGTATGTATTCTGTCCTTGATATCAGTGCCCAAAGCATGGGCTCCGAGGTCAAACAGATATGCTTTCCACTATTGAACTTTCTTCTCTCTCACTGCTCAAATGTCACCCTCATGGGAAACCCTTTCCTAACCAGTCTTTGTAAAATGCCATTGTCTTTCCCTCACCTGAGTTCATTTTTTTCCTTGTCACGGATCACTACCTGACATATTATTATATAATTATTTGTTTATAGTCAGCCCCAGGAGAACAGGGAATTTGTTTTGTACATGGCTTAATTTCCTGACCATTCCTGGCACGTGACAGGGACAAAGTATTTTTTAAATTAGTGGATTAAGTGTAATGGCAACCGGTATGGTGTCTGGCACACAGTAGGTGATCAATAAAAGTTTGTTCTGGCTCTAAATATCCACCACTGCCCTAGCGATTCTTTTGAAAACTCAGTGGATGGAATACCTTTGATTGTCCTTGGCCCCATGTGGGGAGTTTGGGGAGGGTATATGTGTGAAGATATACCTAAGGAGTGGCTGCAGAGCCAAAATGACCCAGGGCAGATTCTGGACTTAGGTACGTCACTGTGCTTTCATCTCCACAGCATCCACCCTCCACAGCATCCACCCTCCCCCAGAATGTTCCTAATTCCATTCTGGCTCTTTATTGCTGTGGCGGGGGAATCTCCAAATGTAATGGCATACCCAATAACTACTTTTATGTTGCCTATGGGTTCTATGGGTTAATAGTTCAGAAAGGGCAAGTGGGGAATGCTGTACTGCAGGATCCAGACCTGGGTGGATCAATTTGGACAGCTGGAAGTGACTGGATGGCTGGGGCTAGAGCCACAGGTGCTGGAGGATCCCCTCCAAAAGGTCTTTCCGCACTCATGTCTTGTGTCCAAGCTGAATTGCCAGAGGACTGGCTAGGCTTAGACTGTTGCCCAGGATGCCTCCATGTGGCCCCGCCAGCACAGTTTCACATGGAAGCCCAGGGCTCAGAGAGGAAGAGTTACAGTAAACAAAAGGAAGGCTCATGGACTTTAATGTCCAGGCCTCTGAAGTCACAGGCATCTTTTCCACCAGACTCTATTGTAGTCACAAGCCTACCATGACTCAAGAGGAGGGGACAGAGAATTTTTTTCAATCCACACCTGGAGAAGTCAGCAGGCACCCCCTGGAGTCTGGAGTCTGACCAGTCATGGCATGGATCCCAGTTCTGCTGTCCTCACTTTGTGTGTGGCTTCTGACAAGATATGTATATAACCTCTTTGGGCCCAGAAGCTGCCCTGAGCCTGACTCCCCTCAGAGTGAAAGCAATTAACCATTCATGACTTTCCTCACTTACCCCAACTTCCACAGAACCGCACTGCCTTGAAAAAAAGAAGGCATGAGAAGTTCCTTTTAAGCAAAGACATTCTCCAAAAACACTAGATGATAAAGTAGACTCTCTGCAGTGCCACCTGCCCTTCAGGGGAGCGTGTGCACGGAGCAATTAATATGGATGCCAGCTGCTGCCTTCGGCGCAAAGGAGGCTCCTCTGTCAAGAGGCTGAGGAGACCCAGGCACTGAGCTGGATCCAGAATCCCCTGGTAGCCATTAGCACCCTGATGCCTTGACATATGAGAGATGAGATTTCTACTCTCAGCACAAACAGTGCAAGCTTCCAGCTTCCCAAGGTCATGTGGTAGCCTGTGGTTGGCAGATCCTTTCTCCTACCTCCCCTCACACATACTCTGACTCCAGCTGAAGGCAAGGTGTTTACCTTGCTCTTCGTGAGTCAAGGATGCCTATAAAGCCTCTACTGTCTGTGATAGAGCCTTCCTAGGGTAGCATGAAGACAAAGTGCACAAAAGCAGATAATTCCCCATTAGACACTTCTCTAAAGAGTGGACAGAAGCCTGCAGCTTAGCACTTTGTCATCACTGGTATTTAATACCAGAGCTAGCTCCTGCCCTGGCCCTGCTTTGAAGAAACCACAGGGCAAGGAGTCCAAGGGCCAAAATCAGCATCCATCCCCTCAAAACCATGCTTCAAGCATATGAAACTTCAGAATTCGCTACCCCCAACAACCTGTGCCTGCTGCCAACGCCTGTACAGGCCTTTTCCCCATACCCACCTCTTAGAGAAGAAGACACCCAGATGAAGAAGCTTGGACTTGCTGCCTGGGGCATCCATATATATATGGATGCATATGGGGCATATATATATATATGGCATAGGGTAGAGCCATGCTCAGGTGGGGAGGAGGGCACCTCGCCCATATGGCAGAGGTAAATGTTAGGATGGGCCTGCCATTGCCTCCCCAAGGTCAAGGACCAAGTGTTACATTATCCTTTCCATAAGAATAAAGTTCCCTTGGTAGGATGTGAGCCTCACAAGAGAGACCTCTTTAAATAGTGTCTGGTGCATTGAACAACAAATGCTGCACAGTTTAGTGCAGGAATGAGTGATTCTTTTTATCCCCTTCACCTACTACAGTGTCCAACCCATTTAGCATGCTCAGGAATTGCTAGATGAACATAATTGGATGTCAGAAGAAATGCTGCCAGGGCTAACTTGTAGCATTTTGGTAGCCAACAGGAAACAGATGAATGCATGAGTCAGAGCTCCATGAGCTAAGTACATATTTCCTACACTCAGCCATCTAGAGAGCCTTTGGGAGCTCCTGCAATATGGGAACACTGGGCTGGAACCTTCTAGAAACTCAAGATACAGCCTCAACTTGCAGGAACCTACTGTCCTGTGGGGGGGGGGGCACTTATGGACAGCTCCAGCCCCATGCTAAGATCTGGCTATAGCCTATGCCATGTGATGTGAGAGTGCAGAGAAGGCAGTCTGGTGCTGAGAGGTGCAGTTGCATTGGACTTGAACAGTGGCTAGGCATTTTCCAAAGAAGGGAGAAAGGGATTCCAGGCAGGAGCAGAAAACCTGAGATGAAAGATATGGAAGCTGGAGTCTATGGCATCTGGAGTGAGCAGAAAATAAGGACATGGAGTATGGAGAGGTTTGGGAGAGGGTGGACCCCACCTGTGAGGCACCACAAGGTGGCTTAGTTGCTGAGTTAAAAGTGGTAGGAAGCAGATTCCAGATCTTGCCATTCCTCCTTGCTTAGGATCTAGGGTAAGCCATTTCCAGAAGGGACCCAGAGTGGTCAGTCCTCCAGTCAGGTGAGAAAGGCCCAGGAAGGACACAGGGCCATTTGCACAGGGGTCCCAGAGTGCCAGCTACCCTGAGGAACACCCATACCTGGGGAGGGACACTGAGAATGGGATTTAGAGGACTGAATATCATCCAGCCATCTCTAGGCGCCTGAAGAGCTGTCTGCTTCCTCCAGTGAGGGGAGTCCCATAGGTATATTTTGTCACCCTAAGCTGCCACAGAGAGAGAACCACGGGGTTATTCTTTCATGGGATTAACTGGCCATTGTTTCTGATGTCAACCAGAAAGCCCAGACCTTTGAAATCATACTGTGAAACCTGATGAACCTTAGCATTTACACCCACTCTCAAACTTCCCTGTTCCACTTGGGCCCCATGAGTGAGCTTTACCTGTGGAGCCCCGTGAAGCCTGTGGCCTTCAACCTCGGGTAGGAACTGGCCTTTGGATATGGATGGTTCTCAGGATCCCCACCCCTCCCAGAACAATCTTAGATATCAAAACCTGCTTCTCTTTTTCTTTCTTTCTTTCTTCTTTTTTTCCTTCCTTCCTTCCTTCCTTCCTTCCTTCCTTCCTTCCTTCCTTCCTTCCTTCCTTCCTTCCTTCCTTTTTCTTTCTTCTTTCTTCTTTCTCTCTTTTCATACTAACACTTCCCTCTTTTGTATGAGCTTTGTGGAATTCAAACAGTGTTTTCTGGTTAAACTTTCCAAACACTGTAGATTTAATTTTTCCCTAGACCTTTCTGGTTTTGTCAACTTCAGAAACCCTAAATCCTGGGATTGCACCAATAAAATATTTCTGTTCCTTACAATTGTTACTCATACATGGGCTCCTGACTAGTGTGTAAATTCATCATCTGTGTAACTTTATCAACAATGAGTATCCCCAAGAAAACTCACTTGTCTTATGACTTGCTTCATAGTCAGTCTGTTATAATGTTCAGATACTAAAGCAGTGTGTCCTGTTTGAGGAAATTTGCACCCAATAAACTCATGGAGCCTGCCCCAAATACAGGAAGAAGCCCATGAATAATTTTCTAGGGCCACGGTTTGTTTGTGATTTATAAGTATCTTGTAGAATTTCACTAATTATCTCACATTGCGATAGCTGAATGTTTGAGATTATAAGCCAGTCTACACATTTTCTCTTCCAGTAAAAGAAACTTTAAATAATCAGTATTTGAAAGTCTTTCTCTAAATGGGTCTGTTTTTAATAAATCATCTTCCACAGCAGAAATAAATACCTTCCGTGCATTTTGTTAGCTTTGGGAAAGTATTATTCCTAAGCTTCAAGCCTTCTTTTCATAGTTTTAAGTAATTCCTCTCTGTTGATCCAACGATATTTCTAGATGCTTATGTGTGAGGTGGTACAAAAAACAAACTCCTGAAAATGAATGTTTAGCCCTTATGAAGGCAAATTCCTGCTAAATGAGTCTGTTTGGAAGAAGAGTCCAGCCCCTGATCTAGCAACTCAGACCCATCCATGGACCAGCCCTGGAAAGAAATATCAGGGAGAATGTTACTGATGTCCATCTTCCCATTCTAAAATCTAGATACTTTCTGAAGAGACCCACTGGAAGCTCAGGCATGAACTCTGTGTACACAGAAGGTTCCTATTCCTTCGAGGAGCTGTTAGGGCAGCCTCCACCTGGGCCAC